CTCTCCTCATGACATGCTGCCAGAGTTGTGGTCAGTGGAGGCAGCTGAGTTTGAGCCCTGTTGCTGGTATAAGCAAGAGGGGGCAGCTCTCAAGGCATTCTCCATTGGGGCCCCACACCTTTGAAACTCTCTTCATCCCTTGGTCATAAGAGCTCAAATTTGTTAGGATTTGCAGTGTGCCTTGAGGTTTAGCTTTTCTCCATCCTGGGAGCTCTATCCTTCCATTGGAAGAGATAGGGATCCTCTCAAAACAATAGTATGTGACAGTGTAATTATATATCATAATATGGACACACAAGGGCACAAAATTAAGGTGATCCATATGGACAATGCTCTGCCTGTAGTCCCCTTTTTATAACAAGGGGTATCGAGTTCAGAGAAGTCTGCTGATCACAGTTGTGGTAGCTTGGCACAAGGAGAGACTCCATCCTTCAGGTCAGACGATCTCAAGCCCTTTTGGACATTTATAGAAGAAAACCAACATGCAGCCTGTGGATATCATAGAGCACTGGTAATATATGCTGCCCACCCATAGATACGAGTTAGCAAGTGGGCTGCAGCATATTCCTCCCACTTAAGTGCCTGGTGTAGGTTTGGCCCCATGTAGAGCACACTGAGATACACCATTCTTGAGGTGATGAAAGTATGGATAACTGTCACAATCCCCTTGCAGATGGTAAAAAAGCTATATTTGTAATTGCTGTTATATAATCAAGTCATAGCAGAAAAGGATCCAACATAACCCCCAGATATTCAAGAGGACTGTCTAGATTGAGTGAAATGGAGACATAAACTACTGGACGTTATCCACAAGTGGCAAGTAACAGAAGCCCATGCCTTCTCATTAAGCTTCCCAGCTGCCCTCTACATGTCAACTTGAGGGGAGACAAGATAGAATCTTGTGGAATTAAAGACAACACAAAGACTAAGGACCCTTAGAAAGAAGAAGTAATTGCCACACCCTGTCCTGTGGAAAGGGTCGACATGGAAAGATCAAAGCCACCTAAGCGCTGCAGCATCCACTGTAAGAGAGTCAGCAAAACCTAAATGTCAGTAGTATCAAATACTGCTGAAAGAATAGACAATTTCAACATGGAACTTGTTTTTCATTGCTAGGGTATCATGATACCAGCGCTGTTTCTGTGCCACCCCCAAATCTGTAGCCAGACTATCAGACAATTGTCTCATCAGAACTTTCTCTATCAAAAATGGAAGATTAAATACTGGCCAGTAATTAGTCATTGCCAGCATCGGTGTGTGTGTGTGTGTGTGTGTGTTTTTGTTTTCTTTTTTTTAGTCAAAGGCTACAAGACAGCATCCTTAAGAGAACCAATAACTTGCTTTCCTGAAGGGAGGTACTGACAATCTCACCCTGTAATGGACTCAATACTTTCCCACAGGCTTTCACCTGCCAGGAGGGACACAGGTTCACATAATAGGACAAGGTCCTCCCAATACCTCCAGTACTTCAATGAGCATTAGTGGCCTAAATTCAGCCAGAAAAGACCTAGCCTTTGTCTACTCCAGGCAACATTCTGTAATCATGAAAGCAAACACCTGAGTCTAAATACACATAATTTTACTATAAAAATAATCAAAGTTTTTCTCACTGAGTGGGACACAAATAAGACACTGAGTGGAGTCAGATTGGTTTGATCAAGCACTCAGAACAAATGCTCTTACTGAGCTTTTCCAGATGCCGTGATAAGGCAAAAAATATCATGTTTGCTTGCTGTACAGCTCAAGCATGTGGGATTAAAAATTATTTGATGCAGCTGATCATATTCAGCACCAGAGTTCTGCCCCTGCCCCTGTAGACATCTTCCCTCACATTTCATCTGTTGCAAATCATCTGTATACCAAGGTGAACTGTGATGATGAAGCCAACTAAAAGGTCAGCTAGGGGCTACCCGTCAAGGGTAGAAGACAAAATATTATTATAAAATCCTACCAAATCATCAACAGAGTGATCTGTTGGAGGATCAGTCATATCCTTCCAGGTCTCATGGAAATGCTCTGGATCCATTAGCCTACAAGATGAACCATCAAAACAGGTCCCTCATCCTGACAGGCTACGTGTGCCACAACCTAAAAACATAGGATATAATAGTCAATACATGACATAGGATGGGGTGAAGAGACAGACTAACAAAAATAATAGCATATGCACATTTTTAGCCAATAAGAAGCAGTAATTGCATCTCACCGCCTGCCTACCTATTAGTATGTTGCAGTTTATACTATGCATTATGGAGGAGGGTCTTGAAGGAGGATTCATAAATTTTAGGCCAGAAGGGATTATTACATCATGTAATCTGACCTCCTGTATTACAGGCCATAGCAGTTCACCCTTTTAACCCTTTATTGAGTCCAGAAACTCAAGATAAGATGATGGCTTTACAGATTTTGACTGGAAGCTCTTCAAATTTGTAAGAAGAGACATGGGAGAAAGCATGAGAGTCCTTGTCAGCATAGCAGGCAATCAAGGCTGGTGCAGTGAAGGTTGTGAAGGTCTTTGGAAGTAAATGCAACAAGTTTGTGATTGCAGAGAAAGATGGGGAGTCAGCTGAGGGACTTGGAGAAAAATGACATATACTGATGAGGCAGAAAGATAATTTTAGCAGCAGCAATTTGGATGGATTGAGGTGGGAGAAGCTAAGGTATCAGGGGCAAAGAAAAGGAAATTATTACAGTAGTCAAGGGATGAGATAATCAGGCGTTGGACAATAATTTTGGCAGTGTGGACAGAAAGGAAAGATCAGAGCTTGCAGATATTGCACATGAAGAAGCAGGAAGATTTAGACATGGCCTAGATGTGCTGGTCAAAAGAAAAGGCCAAATCGTGCATAAAGTATGGGTTTGAGACACAAGGAGGACTGTGGTCCTGTGCACTATAACAGAAAAAGGGGAGTGGGCAGGGATCAGGGGAAAGATCAGGAAATTGATTTTGGCCATGTTATGTTTCAGTTGATAACTAGATGTCCATGAGGAGATGGTAGAAAGGTAGGCTTTGAGATTCTAGTATGGATGAAGGAAGAGAGGTCCAGAGTAGAGGTTTGGATTTGAGAGTCATTACTATAAAGATAGTCATCAAAATCATCTCTGCAGTTGAGATCAGCCAGAGAAGGGGTATAGAGGGAGAAAAGGAGGGGACTAAGGACAGAACTCTGAGGCCCGTAAGTCTAAGGGTTTGTCTAGACAAAGAGTCTAGATAAAATCTCAAGCATGCTAGGGAACTTTTAGTGTTCAGCAGCATACCTCAGCTTTGCATGCAGTACCTCTCCATTTAGATAAGTCCTAAGTCTCTTTGTGGCTAAATCTCTGTAATCGTGCATGGCAAAATTGGTTTCAAAAGGCATACCCTAAAGGCCTGTTTTTCAGCCTAACCTTAACTGGAGTTCCATTTTTGGCAGACAATTTTGTTAGTATTAATAACTGTACCGTT